AGGGCATGGGATAATATATATTTCATGCTTATAATTGTGTGTGAATGTTGAGTCATGATGTCGAGTGTGTGTGTCGAGTCAATAGCGAGTTATCGCTAGACCCGTGTTACGCGGTCGTTTGTGTCTCGCGCGCGGTTTCTATTTTGTCGTGCGCGGTTTCTATTTTGTCCTGTGTCGAACGTTCGGCGTGTCGCAGGTGTGTGCAGCAAACCCATCAAGAACTCAAGGATGAGTTTGTGATGAAGAGCCCGAGCCTTGGTGTCAAGCCTCAAGTGATTTCGAAGCTTGCCAAAAGGGTACACCTCAAGATATTGAAGATAGTTGCATTACTTTGTGTAGTGTAACATTTCACTTGGTGTAGGCCCTAGTGAAGGGTAGTTTCGAGACCCTTCGTGGTTGGGGACAGTGTGGCACTGTTCCACATCACTGTACCTCGGCTCTTGGGGTTTGTAGGAGCTGGGAGTCATTCCCAACTCGTAACTCTTCCTATCTTGTGTTCTAAGACTATAGTGGCTGCCATAGTACCGTTCGTTCAAACCGACGCTGTGTCGTCAATTCTTTATGAAATCGTGCAATCTAAATTGCTTATTGTAGGCGACGTCAAGACGCTCCAGATCCAATTTGAATCAAGTCATTTGCAGCTGTGAGCAGAACGCTATCAACGTTTGAAGCCGCTGTGCAGAAATCCGTCTGTGCACTCTATCTTTCGTTTTAGGCACATTCAAGGCTATTGTGACTATAACAAGTGGTATCAGAGCCCCTTGGAGCAGTTTCGACAATGGATGGACCTGAGGAAAGGGGTGGCAGAGTTGCTGGTGGCAGTGGAGAAGCCCAAGCTCAAGGCCAACCCCGTGATTCAGCCATGGCGCCCATGCAACCAAGTCTTGGCCCACCTAGGGATGAGCCTAGGGTGTTTGGGCTTGACAAGTTCAACGGTGACAACTTTGCTAAATGGTCCTTCAAGATGGAGAACATCTTTGACCACTATGACCTGCTGGAGGTGATGGAAGGAACGGAGAAGCGCCCCGAGAACGACCCGGAGAAGAGCCCGTGGGTGCGGAAGAGCGCACAAGGCTATCTCCTACTTGGGCAAGCGTTGGGGAGCAGCCAGATCCGTCACATCAAACCATTCCAGCGTGAACCAGAGAAGGGACCAAAGGCATGGGCTGCTCTCAAGGGTGTACATGCTCCTGCAACAGCGGCGGTAGCGGTGGTGTTGGAACGGCAAATGGCGGCACTACGAATTGAAGAAGACGAAGCGGTTGAAGAAGGGGTGCAGAAATTCTTCGACTTGTTGACGCGGCTTGAGGGAGCTGATTTGAACTACAGTGAGCTCCAAAAGAAGACCAAGTTGCTGGCCTTACTCCCAGAGTCATGGTCCTCTCTCATCATCAACCTCAATCGTGACTTGCCCCACCTCTCGCTCGAAGACGTGAAGCGAGCGATCCTTCAAGAGGATTTCCGTCGCCGTGAGTTGGCGAGTGCGGATGGCGCCGGGGCAGCAAGCATCGGCCGTGGATATGGCCGTGGAAAGGGCAGAGGACGAGGAGGAGGAAGGTTTGGAGGCAGCAACTTCAACGGAGGCCGCGGGAGTAGCGGATACGGCAATGACAACAAGAACAACGGACGCGGTCGCGGACGGTTCGACGGCGAGTGTCATTTTTGCCACAAGAGCGGACACATGTGGCGCGATTGCTACAAACTCCCTGATGGATGGACTCCTGCTCAAGGCCAAGAGGGTAGAGGAGCAGGAGGAGGGAGAGGAAGAGGCCGTGGAGGCCGTGGCGGTCGCGGAGGTGGTGCTGCAAGTATGAAGAGTGCCGGCAACGAGAGCGAGTCGAGGGACGATCGCTTCCCGGGTCAATTCTTCTTCGTGTCCACGCAAGCACCGGCTGGTCCAGAGAATGATGAAAGCTTTGAGGAGCCAGCAGCTGTGGGGAAGGTCACCCTACACTCCCTGGACTATTGGGTGATCGATAGCGGCGCTACCTATAGCATGACACCTCGTGCGGACTTGCTCACCGAACTTGAGCCGTCACCGGTGAAGCATGTGACATCGGCTTTGGGGCAGAGAGCAGAGGTGAAAGGCATGGGCAAGGCCATGTTCAAGGGTGCTGATGGGAAGATGGTGGGCCTCAAGAACGTGCTTTGGGTGCCCAACCTTGCTGCCAACCTGATTTCCGTGCGGCGGTTGCAAAAGGCCGGCATGGACACGAGCTCGAAGGGAGCTAAGACCTACACCGCGAGGCTTGGCGAGCGGATTCTTTGGGACCTTCACGAGGATAGGGATGTCTACAACGAGATGTGGCAAATCCCTGTGGTCCCCATGCCTAAGGAGAGGCAAGTGGCAGCAAGCATCAGCACCAAGGGTGAAGCGGTTGGTAGCGGCGATGGCGCGAACGGTCGTGCTAAGGAGATAAAGTCCAAGAAGTGCAATCTTGGAGGGACCAGCAAGCTCGGTGAACATGAGGAGAGTGGTGCAGCAGCTCAGAAGCAGCACAAGGGTGAGGAGAACCCCAAGGCAGCAGCGGAGGAGGAGTACGGAGAGAACATGTGGGGCACTATTGCGAGTGCGGCATTCTCCAATCCGACTTCGGCTACGGGGGAGTGTGATTGGCTCACCTTGCATCGGCGAATGGGGCATGTGGCCCTGCCCATCTTGCAGCAGCTAGTGAAGAATGAGATGGTTGCTGGCATACGTGTGAAGGGGGAGCCCGATGAGGTACTTGGCTGCCCGACGTGCATGCAAGCCAAGTTCACCCGTTTCCCGTTCTCTAGTTCGGAGGCAACGGCTAAGGCACCACTTGATGAGGTGGTGATGGACGTGGTGGGCCCCCTGAAGCTTGGAGCTGCTGGAGCTGAGTACTTTCTCACCATTGTGGACGTCTACACTCGCATGACTTGGGTGTACGTGCTGTCCAAGAAGAGTGACGTGGCTGAAACGGTGAAGACCGATTGGTTGCCGATGGTGGAGCGGCAACAAGACCGGCTAGTGAAGGCAATCCGCACCGATCGAGGGGGAGAGTTCTTGAGCAAGGAGTTTGGATTGTGGCTGAAGAAGAATGGCATAAGGCACTCCCTTACCATGCCATACTCCCCTGCAATGAACGGCATCGCCGAGCGAGCGAACCGGACAATCACGGAGACGGCGCGCGGGTTGCTCATTGAAGCCGGGCTACCCGAATATTTCTGGCCTGATGCGGTGCGGAGTGCATGTGTGGCCAAGAACAGAGCTTTGACTCATGTGGGAGCAGACAAATGGGTGCCCTATGTGGAGTGGATTGGAAGGAAGCCAAAGGTGGATATGCTTCGGGTGTTCGGGTGCATGTGCATGGCGCTCGTGCCTAAGCATCTTCGGCACAACAAGCTCGGTGCCAAGGCGATATGGGTTGTGCACTTGGGCATGGCTCAAAACAGCAAGGGGTGGCTTCTTTGGGACCCATTCACCAAGAAATTCTTGGTGAGCAGGGACTGCAAGTTCATGGAGAACTTCATGTACAAGGATTGGAAGGCGGAGAATGAGACGAAGATAGGCGTGCGGTTTGGGGAGGTGAAGAGTTCCGGTTTGGAGCATGTGGAGCTGCCTTTGGAACTGAGCAGCGGCAGCACAACCACAAGGCAATCCTCCCTTGTGAATGGGGGAGAGGAGGCCAATGATGCAGAGGAAGAAGAGGAGGAGGTGCAGCAAGTGAGCGAGCGTGCACCGTCACTTCCTTCCCGTACTACGAGTGCTCCACGGATTCGAGCCACACCGCAGCAACGCCAAGGCCTTCAAGTCCCTGCAGCTGAGGAGGAAGGAAGGGGGAAGAGGAGAGTTCAACCCCCTAATAGGCTGACCTATGATGCGCCGGGAAAGCAGGGCAAGACAGCCCTGGCCGGAGCGGCAATGATGGTCGGAGACGACGAGGAGAGTGACTACGAGGAGTGTGTCTTCGCGTTCTTCTCTCCGGTGGAGATGCCGGGAGAACCAGCAACTCTCAAGGAGGCTTTGGAGAGTAGTGATGCTGAGGACTCACTCCTAGTGACGCCACATATTCTATTTGGTGAGTTAGGAGCCAAGACTAGAATCGTTCTGACGGGCTCGGAGCAAGGAATCCGTGGCACTTTGAATCTCTGTGATCGCCTGAGAATTGAAAGAGATACTTCTTATAATGCAAGGATGGGTACAAGTGACGAGTTGAAGTTAACCCTCTGGAATTTGCTCTCTGGTTTTATAGCTACAACATGCAAGCACAATTGTAACATCGAACCGCGCGCGACTCGCCGGAAATTTGGACTCTGGATCGCGTCCAATTTCCGCAACGTCCGCGTTCACAATTTCGGACTTTGCCGGGTTCGTTTCTTCACGCCGACAATCGTGAGTTACAAGGGACAATAGCGAGTGTAGCGAAATGTTCGTAACATTCGCTTGCACTCTTGCAATTTTCGTGCATGCTTGTGGGGCTGCCAAGTGTCGCCCCCACAAATATTTGGACCCAACCGGGGGCGAACTTGGTTGAGTGTCGACGCGGGCAATCCGCCGTCACCCCTCATTCCGAGAATGAACCCTCCCTTGGTCCGAGTCAAGGGAGGTCTTCGCGTGGGGGGCAATCTCTCCCCCACAATTCCAACACACCCCACCCTCACGTCACCTCGCACTCACAGCTCGGTCACAAAGCCTTGCACATTGCATGGAATCATGCTTTTGAGTCGACTCAAAAGCACACTCACAGCCCGGTCACGAGGCCCTGTGTGCGCGTTGCACGAGATAATGAGAAAGTCGCCCCCAGAGACGAGGCCCTCCTCTCCTCTGTCAGCCCATCCCATCCACCCCACCCCACGCACGCATTTCCCCACCCTCGCATCACCTCGCAGGCTCACAGTCACAGCCCGGTCACAAAGCCCTGCGCGTTGCATGAGATCAAGAGGAAGAAGCTCCCACAGGCAATGTCCCCCTCTGTCACCAACCCTCGATGAGTCAATTCCAACTTGACAACCGCACTCACATCCCACCCGCACACTCACAGCCCGGTCACAGATCCTTTCGCGTCGCATGAGATCAGGAGGAAGAAGCTCCCACAGGCAATGTCCCCCTCTGTCACCTCCACATCCGACGCACCCAGCAACTTCTCCAGCGCCAACCCTGCCAGTGGCGGGCGGGCGGGGTAGGGAAGGGGGAAGGTCAGAATGGTCGGAACAGCGGGGCTCCCACAGGCAATGTCCCCCTCTGTCACCTCCACACCCGACGCACTCAGCACCATCTCCAGTGCCACTCCTGGCAGCGGGGGCGGGAGACGGCCATAAGGGGAGGGAGTCCATAGAGGGGAGGTCAGTGGGTGGGGCCAGGGCAAGGGTAGGTGCGACGGAATGGCCTGGACAAAGAAGCTCCCACGGGCAATGTCCCCCTCTGTCACCCAGCGCCAACCCTGGCAGCCATGGGGGTGTGTGGGGGAGGGGGAAAGTGGGAGCAGCGAGTCAAAAAGAAGGGGGGGTACTCTGGAGGAGAGACAGATAACCCTCCCGCAAGCAATGTCCTCCTCAGCTCAGTCACCTCCACACTCGACGCACTCAGCACCTTCTCCCAGCGTCAATTCCACGGACCGTGGGGAGAACGGGAAGCAGGGCGACGAGAAACACCGCAGCTTCTCTCAAAGCGACCGTTGGTAGAAGTTTGGAGGTGAGAACTCGAAGCTTTCAGAGGCTCTTAATGATGTCGCCGGCTCAATGTGTTTTTCTTCGAGGATTCTCTCTTGAGAATTCTCTAAAAACAAATTCTGAGATCTCTAAAAACTCATTTTGATTCATTTCAAAAAGCACATTCTGGGCTCAAACGGACGATGTGTCAAACCGGAGATGACTCTCGCAGCAGCGGTTAGCCTGAAAGGGGGTTTACTAGGGCCGGCGGACTCTGCGGTAATCCGCTCTCTGACGTGACTCTCCGCCGTGTTAGAGTCTACATTTGAGACTCTGAGGTCTACTTTTGAATACTTTAGAGGCGCCTCAAAAGTAGACTCTGAGGTAATCCGCTGTCTGACATGACGCGTGATCATCCGCCGCACCATAGGAGACAAACTCACGTGCCTTCTATCAGAGAATTGTAATACTGAAACGTCTCGAGTGTTGTTAAGTCCTGGAACGTCTCAAACGGGAAAATAATATCGGACAATGTCGTATAGTACTATCACAATACATAGTAACGAAGCTGTCTGTACTGTCAGAGTCGTACGCGAAACACCAGAACGTGCCACGTTCTAATTTAGGGTAGTGCCTGGTGCGTTTATAAATAGTATTAATTACTAAAATTACATGCTCACGCACACTGGGAGACATTTAACTCCGCATCTGCCGCTGCAGCACCTCGAACCGCGCAGAACAGCGGAATCACGAACCGAATTAGGGTTGTCAGCAGCGTAAGAGGCGGCGCAGGTTGCGGCTTCATCTCGCCTCAGCTATTCCTACCCGTCAGATGCACGTAGTGCTACCTGTTAGCTGAAGCTGTCAGTTGTCAGCGGGAACTGTTCGGTGGTAGCTAGCTAGGCACAAAAAGACTGAAGCCCTATGTTTCCGGGCCTATCCTCTAGACTCGAGGGTTCGCTTCGGAATGAGATCATGAGGGTATGGGATGGGAGAGGATGTTTTCTGCGTTGATCGTGGAAAGCTGGAGCATGAAGCGGCTCGAAATTGTTGAAGGTGGTTAGCTAACCACGACCTAGCACAACCTGGAGTGACCTACATCGACCTAAGAAAAACCTACCTTGACGAGATGAGACTAAGGGAAGGCGAGGACCTAAGAAGAAGATAAGCTACTTATGTTGGGGCGGTGGAAGAAGGAATACGGCATCGGCGGAAACTATGGTGAGAAACGAAGTGAAGAAGAGGAAGCGTGCAGACGTGGAGAAGGACACAGCTGAAATGTCAAGATTTCAAGTGAAGTGAAGAGAAGTCACGCCGGGTCAAAGGCGCGTCCAAGGAAGTCTGAAATTCGAACTCGAGGCGCGTTTGGCGCATGGTTGGATTTGGAAATCGAGCCGAATACAACTCAGCTCGAAATTAGGCGCGGCGCGAGGGTGAAATCAGAAATCCTTTTGCTTATAACTTGCTTTGTGTCTTCTGTTTTTGTATGTCTTCTTAAATGAAATCACTGGAACTTTTTGTCTTGATGTTTTTCAGCAAATTCCTTCACACAGTTGAGGCCAGAGCTTCCCATGCAAGCTACTAAGACTCTAATTAGTCTTCATAGTCTAGAATAAAGGCTGCGCACATACAAGAGCTGGTATCAGAGCTGGTTTATGGCGTGTTCTAGCGTTTTAAAGATAGGCGAAAATTATTAAGTATGACAGGCGATCATACTGAGGTGAGTTCGGGCTCCTCTGTGAGCATTGGAGGCTCAGAACTACAGGCCATCCTATCAGCATTAGCACAAGCTCGGTTAACGGCGAAACCAACAATTGGGCTTAGCGAGGCCCAACGATTCCATGGAGAAAATTATAGCACGTGGCGACTCAAGTTCATTCGTGGAGCGGAGGAAGTGGATCTCTGGCCGTACTATCATCCCGACAAGGAGACGGGAGAGGGCGTCCCACCATCTGCAAAAGAAAAACCAGAAGAAAATGCGTCATTCAAAAAAAGGAGTAAGCAAGCTTTTTTCCAATTGTGTCATTCGGTTTCGGACAGCATTGCAGTGGGGCTGGATCAATTTGCGAAAGAGGAGAAATCTGCCGAACGAGCCTCGGAGTACATGGAAGCAGCTTACCTTGGGCTTACCGATACCAACAAAGCCGCCATTTGGAAGAAACTCCTATTGAATATGGAGCCGAGGGAGAGGGTCATTGACTACATGAATCAAGCGAAGGGGTACAATGACGACCTCAAGGCTATGGGGGCAGCTGAAACTGAAGGTGAAATGATGGGGTACATCATTAGTGGGCTGCCCAAGGAGTGGGAAGCAGAGATAGGGCTCCTAACCTGCAACCCACCCGCAAATATGACCAAGCTGTTGGAGACGCTCCAAGCTTTGGAGCGGGTCAAAGCTGATCGGCTCAGGAAGGAGGTCAGCTTGAATGGAATGGGACCAGCCACACATGCTATGGCAAACGCAGCAGCAACATGGAAAGGATATGGAGGATTTGGGGTGTGTTTTCAGTGTGGGAAGAAGGGTCATAAGCAGATAGACTGCTATGACAGCCCAAGGAGCAGAAATTGCAAGGGGAAATGGAGCAGTCCACAGCAGAAGGGGCTGCAGAACGCATGGCAGCAAAGAGAGGGGGAGGTTCGAGGTGATAACAAGATGCAGAGAGGCGGATTTTCAGGGGCATGTCACTATTGCCAGAAAATTGGGCATAGGGCAGCCAACTGCTACTCGAACCCCAACAGCAGGAACTACCAAGGGGCGAACCAGCAGCAAAACAAACCAGCAGCAGCAAAAGCAAATGTAGTGGAAGCTGAAAACAGTGAAGCAGACGTCATCTTGGGAGGAGCTCACAAGGCAAACGTGGCAAGGGCATTGGGGGTGTGTTTGGTGGCAAAGGGGTTCGGTGAAGCAGCGTGGTTCATGGACAGTGGGTGCACTAAGCATATGACAAATCACTGCGAGTGGCTTACAAATCTGAGGGACTCCAACGTACCGTATGTGCTCTTGGGGGATGAAGGGGAGCTGATTGTGAAGGGGGAAGGAGAGTTGCTACTCCAAGGAGAGTACGGGGAGCTGACGTTGGAAAATGTTCTCTTTGTGGAGAAGCTCTCACTGAATCTGATCAGCAAGTCTCAACTTGACAGCACGGGGTGCAAGACCTTCAGCGACAAAGGAAAGTTGTGGGTTTTCAATGAGGATTGGAAGGTGGTTGCAGAAGGGAACAGAAATCAGGGGTTGTATGAAATGATGCTGAGGAAGAAGGGGCTGAAGGATGAGAATGCCACCTACCTGACATCACACGAAGGAGACCTAGCTAGGGAGGAGTTGAAGGCTCGGCTTGATGGCTTACCTATGAAGGAGCTTCAGCAGGAAGCTTCAGATATGGTGGTTGGGGTGGAGAAAGTGGAGTTAGAAACCTTGCACAGGCGCATGGGGCATGCAAGCATGGATAGGGTCAAGGAGTTAGTCAAAAAGGGCATGGTAAAAGGTGTGGCACTGAAGGAGGGGCCTGAAAGCAAGGGAAAATGCAGCAAGTGTGTTGAAGGTAAAATCACAAAATCCCCACATCCCCACCACCAAGTGCAGGAGCCTTATGGCACCTTGGACATCGTAGCAGCCGATGTGTGTGGGCCTATGAGGGTGGCGTCACGACACCGCAGCCGCTACTTCGTTACCTTCACTGATTTGGGAACGAGGCACACATGGGTGACAGAGCTGAAAGATAAGGCAGAAGTGTTTCCTAGCTTCGTGACTTGGATGGCGGAAGCGGAGCGGCAAAGTGGGAAGGTGCTGAAAGTTTTGAGGACAGATAATGGCGGGGAGTTTACCGGTGAGCTGTTTAACAAGTTTTTACAGAGCAAGGGTATCCGACGGCAGTTGACTGTACCCTACACTCCACAGCATAACAGCATAGCGGAGTGAGTGAATCGGTCTCTACTAGACAGTGTGAGAAGCATGCTGGCCGACAGTGGGCTGCCACTGAAATTCTGGGGTGATGCATTGGCTATGGCTTGCTGGTCCAAGAACCACCTACCTACCAAGGGACTTCGGGCAGATATGACTCCCCACGAGGCCTTCTATGGCAGGAAGCCGAATCTGGGGTTTGCACGGGTGTGGGGGAGTATGGTGCAATACAGGGAGCCAGCTGGTCCGGATCATAAGTTGCTGCCCAAGGCTCATTGGGGGATTAACCTTGGTGCATGCCCGGTGAGCAAGGGGTGGGTGATCAAGGATGTAATTTCAGGAAAGGTCACGATCACCCGGGATGTTGTCTTCTACAAGGAGGTGGGTGCGCACTTGCGCTACTGTCACCTGCGGATGCAACGCTGGCAGACTGCTTTGCTGCAGCGTTGGCAGACTGCCTTGGTGCAGCGTTGGCAAGCCGTAGACTTGCTTTGTTGGCATGCCGCCTTTCTACAACGCCGGAGAGGTCCCTTTATGCAACGCTGGCAGATATCGACCTTACTGTGCTGGCGGTCGACCAGTTTGCCTGCTAGGTTGCTAGGCTCGGATGCAGTCATTCATTCTGTAATCCCAATTTTGCTAGTTAAACTCTTGTCAATTCTTCCCGTGAATGTGCAAGTGCTAGAGAACGCAGATAAAGCTATGATCACACTCACAACTTGTGCCAACCCCATAGTCTAGCTCCCACCATTGTAGAGTGAATCTCCTCAAGTGGACAACCCTTTCTCAACCCCATCTGAACTCTTAACCCCTCACCGAGCCACCCATAGTTAAAGCTTCTTGTTGCCCACCCCGTGGAGCAGCCCCTCAACCCACTTCACGTATATCTCAGAGAACCTTATCCACTGCAAAATTCAATCATGATGGATACTCAAATCAAACGGCTTACCAAAGTCTACCAGCAAAAACAATCAATCTTCCTGGGCCTCAACATCAGTCGCGCCAACGGCTACTACTGCAGCACATGCTATACTCCTTCCAGGTAGGAACCAAACCACTTCACTCTATTTTTAGCACCTTCGCAATGCTTCATCTTTTCTAACCAAGCTGTGCTTGACAGGATGATTGCCTTGTAGTTTTGCAGCACCATTACCGTCGTCGTCACCTCCACTGTCATCAGCGCCAACCGCTCAAACTTCTTCTTTTTGTTTATGAAGTTTGCTCACCCATAAGATTCCATTGCGTCTCCAGCAGCTCCTTTGGCAGGCCGTCCGCCGTGAGCATCTTTTCGAGCGCCCAGCTCTACCAACTCCCGCTTGACTTTTGCCTCCTCCAAAGGAGAGCAGCTACATCCTCCGGCACTCACCTCCTGTTCAACGTAAACTCGTGCGGAGATCCTACAAGCTGCAGCTTGGCTACAAATAGCCACGTGTAATCATAAGATATAAATCAGACTCGTCTTTCGATGCCTCTTTCATTCCCTAGAATTGAGACTCGTCTTTCAATGCCTCTTTCATTCCCACATGT